TTCGACAAGCGTCATACCGAGTGTGATGAATTGACGATTTCTTTAATAACAGCTTTCGAGTCAGACTTAAGAGGACAGCTGATGATGACAAATCCCGCAAATGTGAGATTATTCTCTAACTTTTCACGAGTTAATTCTCTTAATTCTTGAGAGGAGAAGTTACCAGTAAGTTTTCGATACCCCAAAGCGAGAACTCTTGCACCGCGTCGTGAAAGAGACAAGTAGATTGAATCGTAATTTTCTGGCACAGAAGATAACTGAAATGAAACAAATTATATTACAAAACACATAAAAATCAATCAAAATTGTGGAAAAGTGTTATTTTGTGCTCACCATATTTTTCAGTGTTTCTGGCGCGCCTTTTACCGTAGCTATGTAATGCACGTCTGAAGCTCCAGAAAGAGTATATCCAGCCACAACACACATTCTTTTCAAAGCTGATGAAAAATGATATCTCTGTAGAATTTTCAATGCGGGAAATTTGCCCTTTTTAGGAATTACAGAATCACCTAAATAAAACATTAGCATGTGAAACAATGTATTAATATTTTTATATTATATTTTATTTGCGAATTTATACCTACCTTTCGTGAGATTCCAATTGATAGCTTTGAGAGTAGCTTTTTCTAGTGGATCCCCAACGATTCCATCGTCTAATTGGACAAGAGAATGACATGTGGCGAGCACTTGAATACTTTCCAAAGATGCATCTGATATTTGGATCACGTCTGGCTTACCACTTAAAAAGTAAAAGATTGAAAATTATATTTTCTAATAGAACGAAAGAATACTCAAAAATAATAAAACAAATAGTAGTTTCTTACTTCATACCCGAGATACCCTCTACAACCAAATTATCACTGGTAAGTGTACCGGTTTTATCAAAACAACAAATATCAACTTTGCCGGCAAATGGAATTCTAAACGGTTCCGTACAGAATACACCTGCAAACAGGCATAATAATTTTAATGCGTAACATAGGATTAAAACTGTATCACACATGTATTTCTTATTGAAATTATTTTTGACCCAGGTTTTATAAATCTCTATCAAATTTTTTATATTACTTTCAAATATATAATACAGAAAATCTGTAATTTTTTAATAATTATTTTGGTACATCCTTAAGTTTTCGTTAAAGTGAATCTGTTTTAAATACCTAATTTAGATAGAGCTACTAGAGATGCATTTACAGCCAGAGATAATTCTATAGGTAGCTCTGGTGGTATAACAGACGTCAAAATTAATGTGCACTCCAAAAATAATTTATACTTGTTTCTCGTGGGATCCTCGCTGCCTAAAATCGAAATTTGTACATGTAAATATTCATCATAGTCCCTATTTTTACATAATAAGTATATATAAGATCAAATTACCTTTTATCCAAACATACAAGGCAGCAGCAATTGCAAATATAAGCAAGAATAGAATGAAGCCGAAAGTTTCTAAATTATTAGCTGTAACGCGTTTAACGCCAAATAATATTGTTCTTAAAAGTTTCCCCTGTGACGTGGAAAAGCCAGTACGTAATACATAGGCAATGCATCCATTATCGGTCGCTGTAATATCACGCATTAATGTCGTAAATAAATAATAATAAAGTGAATGAGAACGTTAAGTAAAAATTAAAATTACTATTAATAATACCTCGAAGACCGGGAGTAGTTTTGCTAGGAGGTGTATGCTGTACAACTTTTGTACCACCAAAAAGCACATGAAGTTTATCATCTCCTTCGATATCTATAACTCTACTTCTATCAATATCTTCTATAGGTTCTTTCATTTGAGGTACAGATTCACCTAGACATTTTTCTCTCTTAGTTGCTATGATCTATGTCTGTGATTTAAACATATTACTAGTTTGTTTAAAGTACCTGTTAACATGCTTTCGTCAACCACACAGGGGCCTCGCAAAAGCAACATATCGCATGGCACTAAATTATCATGTTGAGGCCTTGTAATAGAGACAACATCTCCAGGAACTAGTTGATCTGTAAATAATGAGCGCCATCGCCTATTTCTGTATACCTAAAAGAAAAAAAAAAAATAAGCATAAACGAAACTGGCAAGAAATAAGTAAATTACAAGCAGACAGTATTCGTATTCGTACCATTATCATGTAAGGTTTATTGCCCATTTTACGAATCTCGGCCATATTTCTTAATTGCTGTTGTACCAGAGTACACTCAAACATGATAAGCATGATTAATGTAAAGATACTATAATACCAATATCTATCTAAGCACCATAGTGCCACACAGAATACTTGAAAGACGAAAAACGGAGCAACAGCGCGCTCCTTAAAGAGCTCCCAGAATTCTGGTACAACCATGTCCAATCTAGAGTAAAAAAAAAAAACAATATTTTCAGTTATGTGAAAGGTACCTTGCAAAAAAACGTTTGATGCAAGAGTCGCACTATACTTGTTTTTTCCATATTTTTCTTCTGCTTTCTTAATTTCGTTTTGATCCAGATATCCTTTCCATTCGGAATAATATTTCACGGAATAATCGATTGGGAACTGCAACCCTCTAAATGAGTTTTTATCTGGATCCCAGTAATATTTTGTCTTTTGAAAAATGAACCAAGGTTCCTGCTCATCCGTATGATGTAATGTAATCAGTTCTGAGCTGCCATTGTTTGGAGTAGGAACTACTTTAACTATACTGGCTTTGTACGGATTTTCCTCCTGAAATTTCATTTCAGAATAGAAGAAAAGAATATCGCAAGACAAAACTGAAGTGAGATTCCACGCTCAGTTCATCTTTCGCGATGTTCGAATGTACCGCCGAAGTATCACGTGATACCGACTCTAGCAGACGACCAGCCGTTCGAATGGCTGCCAAGTTATGGAACATATCGGGGCCACGAAGAGCCACGTGCCTGTTATTTGAGGCAAATTGAAGGCAGCTGTCACTTACCGAGCTGAAGCTTATGAACGTATGGATGTGCACCGACCATTGACAGCATAGGCACAGGAAAATCTGCAGCACGCCAATCACCGCGATGCCTGCCAAGCCCGCGTCATAGTACTCGTCAACACCATAAACGAAGATCCAACAGTATATCCACAGTGATTGCAGCATCACAAAAGGCAGGAAGTAACCGTTGAACATCCATTTTCGTTGATTGTACAGACTGACAGATTGCACGAGATCGTCTACTCGTGACGGGGTCACCGCCATGATTACACCGACGATTTAACAAGTCGTCACAACGGGTGAAAAACGTTTTAACGTCCGATAAACCTTAAGCACCATTCACATCGAGAGATTCACGCACACGATCCATTAACACGAGCTGGGTGATCGTGTTCCGTATATGCGGAGATTAATGGAGAATGGAACGAGCCACCTGCGCCGCAGGGTTAGGTTAAAAGTTGGAATGGATAAGAAGTATGCCAGCAGCTCTAATGCGGCAGATACGGCATACGGCAGGGCTTAGCAATCCTAGTACAAGTATTTCTCCGTAGATAACGCAGTCTCATACTAAAATACGAGCATGGACTTCAAGCGCCATCATGAGTACCGCAAGTGCAGCTCCAATCTAAAAATGATCATGGCTGTAAAAGCGCTATATTCGGATGTATTCATGTAGCTTTGTCTTTCGAAATTATAGGAAATTTTCCGTATCGAATGATTCATCTTTATATTCTAGTCGTAATCTATCTACAACAAACACAAATAATTTAAATCCTCATATTTTATGAGAATGTTGCAGCATTTTTAATGTTTCAAAAATTATCGATTATTCAAATATTAGCGATAAAGTTTCAAATAAAAACTCTAGATAACAATAAGATATAATTATATGTAATGATTTGTCTCTCCCCCCTTTTCCAATTATAAGACTATTTTTATAATTTTAGATTACTATAAATGCCTTGTAAGTAATAAGGAAACTTAATTTCAGATTATTACATATTTAAACCAAATATATTTTTCAAAAATACTTTCTTATAATATGTTCTTTTCTTAACTTTATTTCCCATATCACCTATTTTAAAATCGGAATGATCGAAATATAAGTATGAGTTACTTTCGCTAAACCTTTAAATATTCGGCATTGTTATTTTACAGCGAGTGTGTGTGATCTGAAATTTTCACTAAAGGCAATCTATCTTCTTAAGAAGTTATAGTGAAAGACACGTACGATGCCTCATATAAAAGAAAAGAAATTTTAGCGATTTCTGTCTACTAAACACTCAGCTTCAATATAAAGAAATAGCATTTCTCTTTCTCTTTCCTGACGCACTAGCTCCGTCACATAATCAAGATGTATCCGTGTCATCCGAAGAAAAAACTTAGTTCACGTTGTCATAAGGTCGATGAATCCCTCGCCGCACGTATTCCAGTGAAAGTATGTGTCCGCCTACCCCACCCTGAGCACCGCAGAACTCGTGCACGTTGCCCGAGGAAGGGGCCAACACGCACAGGTATACCTACGTATCCCGCACGTTGCTAGGTAGACTCGCGGCGCGTAGAACCGAATCGCGCCAGTATCTGGACCCAGTGTCGTGGACACTTTCGAATCACGTTAGCCAAAAGTGGAAAGACGTCCATTATGGTTGACCATACTCTATCATAGTCGGTGCGACAACGAGTCACGCATTGCAACAACAATAGCATCTATAAAGGAGACGGGTGATCAGTCCCGAATTGTGGATTGAAATTTGCCTTCTTTCGGCTTAAAGTCCGCAAAGTCGACGCGCGGATCGAGATTCGGCCAACGAACACAAGCTGTCGTTTATCTGAAAAATTCGTAGGTATAATATATATCGAGCGCGAAACTCGACACCCGATTTTGTCCTTAACGGGGTTTTTTTTTTTTTGTCTCTTATGATCATCCTCTGGACAGTGATTCTGAGTCGGGTCGGGTTATCGTTTATCAGCGGTGACATTGGCACGGCGATTGATCAGCACGCGATGCCAATTAAGTGACTTCGCGGCCTCCTTCCTGCCGAGACACCTGCCGTGCTCACCACAGGAGAGGTTTTATCACGGAGGGGTGAATCATAACGATCATAGATCGAAATGGCGTTCGCGTGGCATCTAATATCAATCGTAAGTGATCGGTCTAACATAATATTAAAAGTAACCAATTGCCGATCATTGCAGGATACCCGAGAAGCTGTATTTAAAGCTGATGTAACGTTCTTTCTATTAATTACACACCGTACATCTTTCTAATCGCGGTTTCCATTGACTCATCTTGATTAATAGCTAAGGTTTTTTTTTTATCTGCCGATCGAATTACGTGTAGGCTGAATCAGAACCGATTAATACCGTCGCAAAAAGCACGCGTTTGTACCATAGTACAGGAAGTATTCTGATAAACGATCAATTACAAGCCGGTGCAACATTTCACAATAAGTAACTAGTCTCACGTTTATACATTGCACTTAGTCACCACTATAGTGAAGATCTCGTGTTTTATCCGCGTGTATTTGACCGCAAATGCAAAATGTGCATAAACTGTACCTATATAGATATTTTTAACAGGCGTATACCAAAGGAATCAATATTTTTGCGTACATAAAATTAATAATCGACAAGGCAATTTAAAAGTAGGCATTTTCTATTTGATCGAAATACGTCTCTTTTTCTGAAAATCATTTTATAATGATGTCTCTATTGCGATGTCTTGTTTTGTACCAACAGTTTTTCTTGATGGTTACCTGGGGTGAACCTTGCACGGAGTACGGATGTCCAGGACGGCCGCAGTACGAACCCTTCGTACCCGCGCCTCCAGGACTCACCCCCCAATGCGCGCCACCGGGACAGACCTTCTGCGAAACCCCAGATCATTATCCTCGGTAAGTGTCCTTTTAGAACTTTTCGTCCCCCTTTTTTTCTCTCCTAAAAATATCGCTGTCGAGTCAGCGGCGAGTGGTAACGCAACAAGTGGAAATCTGCGACGATCCGGTCGACCCATTTTCAATTGTTGATATTCCTTTCGCCGCGTCCATCGTGTCCATCTTCCGCCTTCTTCCATGCATACAAATGACCGACGCACACGATGAGAAAAACTTCTGGAGGGGAAAGTCTGCTAACTCTCCTCTCTTCCTTGGAGGTGAGAATCCGTTTCTCGAAAGCATCGAGTTTTGCCTTAATAGTCTTGCATAACCAATTTTTTTTTTTTAATGCCGAATCGACTCTCGCCTAACATAAAATGATGCATAAAGTACTTTTTGTCTCTCGTCTTTTATTAGCGCGATCCAACCCAGAAGGACTCCATCTTTGCCGTAATGGGATCGTAAACTTGAAATGTGTAAGAGCGCGCCATTATAGTTATCCTTCGCCTGTACTATACTCGTGCTACATATGCAACTCGACTATAATTCGATTTCCTAAATTTCTGCGTGCACTTTCACGCTCAAGTTCTATTCTGAAGATGTTGGGACGAGTTACGTAAAGTGAGCGGCAACTATAATGTAAGAACGTCCGTGAGATCGTTGCTCAGCGTACCATGACCATGGCCTTGGCGCGGTCATACTCTGTTGAATAATTATTGGGCCCGTTATAATAGCCCCAAATCGAGCTTCATTATCATACTAAAAACGCCGGTGATTTTTTCTTTCTCCTTCACTGGACAAATCGCTGTTTCGAAATTATCTCAAATATTTGCATGGACAACACTCGTATCGAGCACTCGCGTATCGTACACGATTGCGAACAAGTTTGCAGGAAATAAATAATAAAAGTGTGCAAATAAAACGGCGGTATTTTAACGTATAAAACAAATTCTTTTTCTAAACAATTTGGACATCCGAAAATTTTTTCAATATCGTATTCTGCATCTCGTGCAATTTCAAAATCTTTTAACGCCGTGTAATGAAATAATAGATATATATAGTTTTTCGATAAGTCGTAACGATTTCATCGCAGCAAGGTGAATAATTTTAAATGGAGATACTTGGGACTACGACAGCTGTCACTTCCGATAATTATATATGTGCGTAAGAACGACTCGAGCAACGGTCAATTAGACTGACAATATCAAATTGCTGACTCGAATCAGCCTATCGCTCGCGGCGCGACGTCGCGCGTGTCATTTCGCCGCAAACAAACACACTGCATCTCGCCTCGCTAATGCTTGTTCAGACCTAACACAGTTGCGTAATGCCCAATTGAGAACGCACCTGCGTAAATAACCTTTTGTCAACCTGGAAGAGAGACGAATCTCGGTCGTCCAGTTGAGAGACAGAATGGCCGGTATCTTTGATACGCGTTGCAGCAAGATCTCGCGCGCGAGGCCAAAGGTCGAATGTAATATCCTCGAGAGAATGCATTACTCGTTTTTATCAGCTCATTGTATTCCGTCCTCGGCAGAGGTAACGGTTTCTTTCTTTTTCCATTTTCTTTTTCTTTTTTTTTTTCTTTTAGACAACTCATCAAGTTTCTCGTCGACAAATGCAGCTTCGACTTTAACACCGCGCTGCAAGATGAATCCCGCGATAACTTCAACTCTTACAGGTATAATTTCAAGACTGAAATATTGTGATACAAATATATGCAAAAGAGTAACTAATAAGTAAAGTAAAGATAAGTATTCGTAATAAGATAAGTACGAATAACTTATTCATTTTAATCATGTCTATTATTAGAGACGTTGTCACTACAAAACATTGTGAAAACGTGTCACAACAAAACATTGTGAGTGCTAAAATTGTGAAAATATATTTTACTACATTTGACATGTTACTTGAACCTGCAACGTTTTGACTGATATTTTTACTTGGAATTGCAACGTTTTAATTTGCATTTTTACTTTAACTTACATTTGAATTTTTAACAACTTTAATACGACTTTTAAAAGATTAGATTAAAAAACTGAACTTTTGACAGAGACTGATTGTTGGTATGTTTAGTTATTATGATAATTTTTGAAGTAATTTTTAAGAGAAAATAAGTTTTTCCTTTCATTTGAAAAATTGACACAATGTTTTGCTCAGATACGTCTCGATTAATCATTGATTTGAATGTTATTCTGATTGTGTGTGTGTGTGTGTGTGAGTTATCTTCGATTATATTCTTTTTATTATTTTTAAAAGTTCTCCTCCGGATTATAATCAAGGCTATGATTATCCACGACAAGATGATAGTCAATTATACTCGCAGTCTCCTCTTGGAGAAGAGCCAGCCCCAGTGTATGGACCTCCACCCAATAGTAGCCGTTATCATGGGTAAGTCTTATTACGTGTAAGGCAGCAGCACAGACTTTTGCATAACACATAATACATAAAAGAATCAACCAATCAAAATGCTTCTTTTCCGTGAGGTGGAAGGAAAGAAAGGATTTTAATTGATTCTCTCATGCACTATGCACTATGCGTTATGAAAAAGTCTGTGCTGCGACATACAGTAGAACCTCTTTATAGTTTACTTCTTTATAGTCACGATCTCCGTATAAGCACACGTTTGTAACCCATGTGACGCATCTCCATGACAATTGCTTGCGCAGTAAACAATGCGCAGTTATCTACTTAGGCTGCGTTCCGTTTCAGGCATATGCGCGCACTTTATATAGTGAGCGTCACATAAGCTGCGTTCCATTTCAGACATATGCGTGCATTTTATATAGTAAGCGTCACGTATACTATAGAGGAATGCGCGCATATATGCGTGAAACGGAACGCAGCCTTAGACGCATTCAAGCTGCGTTCCCATTCATTTCGTTTCAGTGCAGTATTCAGTGGCCGCCATTTTGCTGGATACTAAAACGAAATTAAGCCTACCACTTATATATTAATTATTTTGCATAATTGTTAGTTGCTTAATTATTTTTAAGTGTAAACATGAATCAAAAAAGAAAGTGAATATAATATTATATAATAAGCAACAGATAATTGAGGATAATTGCTTCCGGATCAAAAATTAAAGATGTGGCAAAAAAATATGGTATCTCGTCAAGTTGTGTGTCAAAAGTTTTCTTACTAAAGTAAGAAATCCTTTTGTTAGTTACATCTCAACAAAATAAATAGTTATCAAAACATTTTTGTCAGTGAGTGCTACATACCTATGTGCTTAAGAAGGCTACTTAAGAAGCGGTCTTGCTTTGAAGCGAAGCTAAGGTAATCTCTTTCTTGTTACATTTGGTCCCGAGCGTGTAATTATAAAGAGGTTACTGTATTCATAAAGAGAACTATGCTTTGCGCAGCGTGTAATCACGTAAGGTAAATGTACTAGTTAATGGACATGAACCAATTGTTGGACAAAGTGATAAAACATTTCAAATATAAAGCTTTTGATGGTATGCACGATTTTAAATTAATTTGTAATTAAATTTTTATAAACAATAAATTTATTTAAAGTTGTATATATCATTAAAAGCTTAATATTTGTACCACTTTGTCCAACGAATTGGGTCATATCTACTAAAGCCGATTTTTGGCATGCTTCTGGTATAGCAACCAAAAGTAACCACCACAGCCTAGATGATTTGTCGCATGGTAAAAGCTGCGCAAAGCGTGGTCATTCTCCGTGAGTATAAGTATTCAAGTGTCAAATTTTATTTACATTATCCTTATGAGAGGACAAAAATTCAATACATTTCGAACAAATGTGCTTAACTTAATTTGTTACCTTTTTCGAATCCGCTGCTACAATTTATTGCAACGCAACAAGGCATCTTGAACTATATTTACATTCATAACAATAAGAGGCTCCATAAATAAATCAAAAATTAAAATAAATTGCCGTTGAGAGCCAACCACAGATGTCTATAGACATCTGTGGAGCCAACACATGATGAAGGTGTGTAGTAAAATTTATTTACTTACATATAATTGCAAATTGCATACGTTTCGACCTTAATCCAGGTCCTTTTCATTGCATGAAAAATTCAATGCATGAAAAATTCATGCATTGAAAAGGACCTGGATTAAGGTCGAAACATATGCAATTTGCAATTATATGTAACTAAATTATATGTAAATAAATTTTACTACACACCTTCATCCTGTGTTGGCTCTCAACAGCAATTTATTTTAATTTTTGATACATTTACATTGTCACCACGTATTAATCGTAATATAATCTATCTGTCAAGTGGACCCAAAATGGCGGATAGGAATACCTATATCTCTAGTGCGTTAACTGTACAAAAATATGGCTCAGGAAATTTCGACTCAATTTTAGATTAGGATTAAGCGCTATAATTAGTGTCCGCTTTTTTTATAATACACCCTGTATATACCAAGTTAGAATTTCGATTTATCGAGTTGCAGTTACAAATATTCTGCACCGTCATACTCGCAGAAAAATCCTTTCCTCCCGGAAGTAACACTGAAGTATCATCACGATGTCCAACGACATGTCGATCGTGCTTATTTGCAAGAATCCATAAACGTATTTGAGTCAAACCAATCGTGGCTGACGAATAGGTATGAAATATCGCACGAAGAAATTAAAACAATAACTTCTCGCTTGCGTACAGCTAATATATTATAATACGTATAGTGAGTGCAAAAAATATTCGTACAGAGAAGATATTTTTTTTAAAAAACTTTATTTTTAAAAAGTTTAATTTTAAACATGAATTTATTCGCAAATATTAAAATAGATAGTATTTTTTCTATAAATATATGTATAATAATTAAAAGATTTATTTTAAAAATAAGTAAAAATGAAATATTGTATTATTTGAATGTAGAAAAAGTATTCGTATACGCCTTCAAGTATCATTCTATCCTTATTCACTGAATATTAAATAAGAATAAATTAATACCTGAAGGCATTCGGTGTGTATTTCTGAATGCATCAAAAATTAAAAGGCGAAAAATCAACAGCCAATCAAACTTGTGCTGGTAGTAAGCAGTACAATAAGCTGCAGAAAGCCAAACCCAGCGGCTGCCAGCGCGAATTCTGATTGGTTGCTTTTTCTTTCCACTTCTCTCTTTTGGTCTACAAACCCATCCTAAAATCAAACGCGTGCAAAGATCTCTTCTTAGTTAATGTAAGTTGAAGTAAATAAATTCTGTTCTATATTAAAACAGAATGTGTATTCATTGTATAAATTTCTTAATTAATGTTTATTTTGTACAAATAAGGCTTTTTTCTATAAAAAAAGATCACTTGTACGCATTCACTTTTTGCACTCGGTTTGCATTATTTATACCTTATCTTAAATAGGTATTCGCGAGGAGACAAAATAGCACCACGAAGTTACAGTGTAAACCCGTTATTGAATTACGCGAAACTGAAGAGCGATCGAGTAAAAAGGCAGTCGAATTCGGAAATCATCTCCCTGTGTCCCACACGAGCCCAATATATCGCTCCCCGAGCCGCTCTGAATAAAGAGGGCAACTGGATGTACGTTGTTAATCTTCCTGGACAAAATAAGTATTCGCAGCTCGTTAAAAGCGAAAAATGTTTGTAAGTATTCTCAAAGAATTTATGTTTGTATTGTTTTTTTGCTTAGCAATAAATCTAACGTAGAGCCAGAGGGATATTTCTATTATAATACTTGTGAAGAAATCACTCTAATTTAATTTGCGTTTTACTTTTAATTTTCACGTTTACTCTAAGTATAAGTATTAATTCAGAAGAGGTCATATGTTTTTATGTCACATCAGAACGCTACCAGATGACGAACTTAAAGAAGATCGATAATGAGAAAATATCAATCCTTTCTTTGTGCTTTTAGAAATGACGTGTGTGACGGTATATGCTCCATCCCGGAGGGGTACAGGAGTAGATGCCAGCAACAATTCGTGCAAAAGAGACTAGTCGCGCTCGAGGGAAGCGGAAATCGACTTTACACCGACTTATTCTGGTTTCCACACGGTTGCTCGTGCCAGATCATACCGAATTTCTAAGGATACGGTGACTAGGGGTGTCGTGCTATAAAACGTGAAAGGGTCAATTTCAGGGGGTAAGCGCTATTAAACGCGGTCGTACACGTCATTCTCTTCACGACTGTAATTCTGCGACACAGAGCGCGCCTGGCAACAGCATTGAAAGTAGGTACCGATAATGTAGCGTTCTATGAACAGTACATACCCGAGTAATGTATCGCGACGCCTGTTACCAGCGGTGTAAGACAGAGGCGGATACACAATTGTCAGTTTATCGTTAATTGCCATTGTTAATTGCGAATCACAAACGGCATAATTCTGTTAAATGCGCTCTCAACGTGTTTCTCTCTGCGATTAATAGGTGGAGAATCTTTCAGCGAGAGATGTCGCTATGCCGCGTTACTCTCGCATCGTACATTTTGGTATATATATAAATCTTTTATATACTTTATATTGATTACAGCAGAATCATCATCGAATATTCTTATTTATCTTTTAGCATCCTCGATCATCGGTTCACCAAGTATTCTGTAACACAGATAGATTGCAAAATTGCGCGCTATTATCATAGATCATTAATTCTACATATAGTTTTTAATATTAATATTATTTCTTTTATATTTCAACAATATATGAAAATTATATTTAGGGGATGTTTCGACAAATAGTTGTATCGCCATGTGTTAAGTTTATTTATACAATATATAAGTACTTCTTTTTAAAATTATATCGAAAAGGGACAGCGGAAGGAAATCTCATAATTACGTAATATAATAGAAAATCTTTTCTACGCAATATTAATGCGCGAATAAATAATTAAGACAATTAATTTATCTTTGCCGTTTATTAATATCATTGTTTTTTAGTAAAACTAACTTATCAGATTACCAATCAATCGCGTGAAATGTTCAGAGAAAAAAAAGAGGAATTATCATTTAAGAAATATCTTGAATCTATGAAATAAATTATTACTCAAGGTTATATAAAATCGACAAACATCGATTTTGTTTGTTATAATGATTTATAACGTGCTAAATAATTTATTGGCTTCTTTGCCGGGGCAATGTTGCGTGAAACACGACATCGCGGTATTAATCGCGATACCTTATCAAGGTGGATATACTAAATGTTCGAAGAGTGCGAGGAAAGACTCCAGAGGGTGTAAAATGAAGGATCTCGATTTTGCAACTTGCGGTAGTTGGAAAAGGATAAACAAAAAGAGAGAGGAAGGCGGCGAATGACGAGAGGCGGAATGACGGGGGAGGAACTGGAGGTCAGACACGCGCAAGTTTCACGCGGAAATGTTGTGGGGCAATACGACACCCTTTTCGCTCTTCGTGCCGTTTTTCCGACAATTTTCACGTACCTTTCACGAAGTCTTTATCGCAGCGTTAATACGACGCAAAATACGTCGCTCGTAATTTTGAATAGTAACGACAATGATTATGCTTTTGATGCGTGAATATTTCACGGCATCTCGTCTGTTCTGACAACGAGTTTACGAAACGATGCATAAATCGTGATTTTTACGTATAACATTTTCATGAAGATACCGAACGTATTGAACGGAAAAATCGTTGGTGAAAAGCGCGTTTTCGGGAGAAGGGAAAAGAAAGGAACTATTTAGAGCTTCTCGGATTCGCTGTAGATTCCGTTCCGCTTGGAGAAACGCACCCACTCGCTCGCACCTGCTCAAGAGTTGCCACCCCGGTATCCCCCTCGGCACCCCTTCGCGTCCAGCGAAAAGAAGGGTGAATTGTAGGTGTACGTACGTACATAAGTGCAACGCGTTGCACCTACACACGATGCGCCTATATACGCGTGCACTTGTACCTTACGCGTTTCCCTCCACTCGTGCGTGACAGAAGTGTCTGTACACATGAGGTGGATGGTAGGCTACTTGAAGGGTTTCCGTTTATATGCACGCGCGTAAGCGTGTGTGAGCGAGCGACGGACGTAAGGGGCCTTCCGCGCAGAGAAGCGAGGTCGTCCTGCGATAGAGCGTACTATATGTATATATGGAGCGAAGGATAATGTATCAATTAAAAGAAATCTTACTTGCGAGAAATTTTTCAAACCGTTAAAAATACACTTCACAATTTTTCTCACGCGTCATATTTCACGTTCACTCTCAGAATTTATCTCTCACGTTTGATTCTACGATTCACTATACTATTTCATAATCGAAAGTCCAGAGTTGTAAAAGTATCACGATTTTCTTTTAAAAGGTGGAGCATTTTTTTCATACTCGCTATATACCGTAGATAAAAACGCCAAATGGTACCGCGATAATTTACAGCGGTTTACCTCGCATCTGGGGCCTCGACGAGATTAAATCGAGATTCCGAGTCGATTCACGGCGTCCAGATGTCACGTTTCAGGAAGAGGAAGCCCACCTTTGATCCCTATATACCAAGTCGCAAGATGACGAGCGGAGCACATGGACCGCGCAAACGATTATGGACTTATTTAAAAAAAGAAAAATGCTCCGAATACATAAGCAGAGGAAAGTTACTATGTCGCGCATAGATGTGTAAGTCATTAATTCGGCGAGTGACTTAATTAATTTCGATTCCGACGTGCGCAGAACCGTACGCGTCTTGTATCAAATCACATGTCTGACCCATTTCCGTTTCCGTGCCATTTCCTGAGCGCGCGATCGGATAGGTCAAGTTTGTCGACGCGGTCGATTCTACGGGCGGCGGTTGCACCACCGGCACAATTGCAATTTCACGAAACCGCTAGATTAATTGGATGCTGGCTGTCTCATTAATCGTTCGATTCGATTGCTCGTCAATTGAAAATATCATGTGAACGAATCGGGATTTTCTGCGCGTAAAACAGACTGCGTAAGGTCAGCGCTGACGGCACAGACTTTACCTATGATATTTTTTTTTCCCCGAGCGAACTTACATAAAAAAGTGACCTTGGGTACTCGGCAACAATTTTTTTTAATGTGACGTAAGTTCATCGGTGGCGTTTAATGCACCGTGCACGCGCGAACGCTCTGCGTCATCGAATACCATGACATTATTTACTGAAAGCGAACTGCATAACAGGACGCATCCGAGCGATCGCGCTTCAATTTTGCGTTGGAGAATATATTTCACTGGGTTCGTCCAAGTAGAAATTTTGCGAGCTCGAAAACAGCAACGGAGAGAAATTCCTTTTTTAAAGAGAGAGAGAGAGAGAGAGATAGATAGCGGCTTCGTTTCCGTTTCCGTACGACGAGAGCGGAACAACGGCCGGAGGGTTCGAAACTTTTTTTTTCTCTCCTCCGAGATTCTTGCCACCCCCGACGGAGGGAGTTTTACAGTAATCTCCGTGCCAAAAGTCTGCGGTGCCCCATCTTGCTTCAAGCATCCGTGTTCCCCTTTCCTCTTTTTCTCTCGCGTTACATCGAGCCGGTCGACCGGCAGCTTCGAGCGCCGCGTCGGGATAAAGTCACGAGCAGTAATTATGAACGATAGCAGGGGAGAGAGAGAGGATATAATTGTGATTGATGGAAGAGAAGGGAGGAGCAGGGGGTGACTTCCTTTTAATCTCGAAGCTAACCCTTTCGTCCATCTATTGCCGCTTCTGCTCGGCTGACATCGCGCTATGCGACGCGGGCGCAGCGACGCAATTTTATTACCTCGAAGTGTAAGCTCTGTGGAAAAAAAAACTGGAATATTTTGTGTATTGTGTATCTTGTTCCGCTCAGAATCGAAACTAAAATAACTGTCCAAGACTATATTTTCTGATAACACTATGCACGCAGTTCAAAAATAATTAAACTTATGTTTACGTCATTATTTATAGAGAAAGAGATGAAAGTGTATCTTGAAATTAGTTCGCATCAATTCTACTTGAAGCAGATTATCCGCACGTATAGGAAGCGGAAATACAGATTGCGTACAAAATCGCGCACCATTTAATCAATTTTCCAGTTAAGTTCATGTTAATTAATTCGATACCACTCCTGCGCCAATTTTGCTAAAAATAAATGTATTAAATAAAAAGCGCAAACTGTATGACATTTCATGCGTCACCCTGTAAAATCTAGAGAGTAAAGGCAAAACGATTGAACTGTGAATGTGTAACGATAACGTGTGTTCGATTAAAAACTAGGGAAATGAAAGACGTAGAAGGGAGCTGAATTAATAATTAACGTTGTTGTACATATAGGCGAGTATAATAACAGTCCGTAGCTTAAACGACGCGCTCTAAATCGTCGCTTTGTAAAAGACGAAAAAAAAAAGCCTCGCAAAGAGCGAGGAAGCCCAGCGTGTTCGCTTCGTACGCGCGCATTATCCCCGATGCCTGCCTCTTCGCGTGCGTGCGTGCTACATGCGTTCGTGCGTGCGTGCGCGCATGCTGCGTTCGGGCGTGTGTGTATGCGTAGCGCGCGTATTCTCCTCTCCTTTCTCCGTCACGTCTCTACGCACTCGACTCCGTAGTCTACGCACCGTCGAGCGAGCGAGCGAACGGGAGTCTGCGATCAATGCGTGGCACTGCCACTGGGGTCGTCATGGCAACGTAGCGCGCCACGCACAACGAGCGAACGATCCGCGTCGATCGTGCGTAAGTGCGTGCTCCGGGTGCGCGCGCGCACGCACTCACGCACGAACACGCGCGCATCATCTCACTTACACTCTCACGCACAGACACGGCCTCCTGCGACGTGTACCGAGACGAGACTCGCGTAAGACCGCGTGTAGAGGACAATCGATGGTCGCAAATTTCACGAAGGTATGGCACAGTGATATGCACACAAGTTTACGTGCTTGTGCGTTAAACGCTTTAAATCTTTTATCAATGACCTTTGTCAATTATGATTGTAATTAGGGTGATAGAGTTATTTCAAAAATACTTAATTTTTTTGTATCGATAAAGCTACAAAATAGAATTTTTATTGCTAGTTCGCAACTTCCCTTATGCAGATCTTCGATAACATTTTTTTTTTTTTTTTAAACAACGCTGTGTATTTCTCCTTATCAAACACGAGAACGAAGATCAGAACGTGATCCCCCCTGGGAGATCTTGGAAGATTTGCACGCGACAAAAGTTGCTCCGAAATTAGCCGTTAACGACACTGTTCTTTTTCTAGAGATTTTCTAGTTTATCCTGTCGACAGCTGTTCCAAATTTCCTGTTGAGTTTTTTTACCCAATTTATGTTCTTATAAGGCGTTTCGTTTCGCAATGTACAACTGCAAATTATAATTATTTACGTAACGTTGGATATCTTCTTATAGTTACGAACAGTTGAATGCGTTACGTAATTAAGCATTAATTTAATAATAGTTTATTTACTTGCGTTCTCCGCAGTATTATTGTTATCAAGAGTTGATTGATGTTATAGAACGTATGTGGATTTGAAAAAATTCAGGTAGAGAGAGAGAGAGAAGCAATAATTCAAAAGGACAATACACAGAAATTGTCCTGATGTTTCGCAGCCGCAACGTAGAAACGACGATGTCAGGTCGCGACAGATGTTTCTAACGAGTCTCTGCGAGAGAAAGTATCGATCGTGATATCGCTACGATTCGTTGTCCGTCATAATGAAGATAAGT